AGCCCTGCCCAGAATGGCTGTCAAATTAGTGTACTATTTTTTTATGCCGATATAATACGCTTTATATTTTTCATACACTCAAAAACTAAATAAACATTTTCAATTTCATTAAATATGAACACGGAAGCAGGATAAACACTTCTCAAAATTCTCGAAGTATAATTAATGTTTTCAACTAAAATCGCCGATGTAGGAATTAAAATGTTGGTCAACCCGCTTCGTAATTGTAGACAGACAGCATAAGTTTCGCATGTCTGAAATCATCATTTTACATTTTCGGCAGATATATCCCCTCAATGATCCTTGAGAGACCCAATCTCTTCCATAAATCAATTCAGTCGTAAAACATCTAGCATTGAAATACCATAAAATCATTGACATATCAAGTAAAACCAGTATGGATTCCCTTAAGATTAATTTAACACATTTCTTTAAAGACAGTCTATAATTTAATTGAAATGGATTAGTTTATACAAAAGATCGATCATTGGGAAATGTGTAATTTATTCTAATCTCTAAGCATTTTGGTAAGTGTAGTATATATAAATATAAGAATAAGGTACGGTATAGCAATTCATTCTCAACGTGGACGATACAGAATCACAATGTAATGGATACACGACTGAATTTCGATGTGGCTTATTTTAAAGTCACGTATTTCAAGACGATGGCTAAACTGCTTATGAAAACCAAAATACTTCAATATATACGATATACGTAAATGCGAAAGGGTTACTCGAAGGTAGATAACTCCTGGACACAAACACAGCGTGGATTAACTTACAATGCGCGGACGTGTCAACAAAAGAACAAATAAAATCAGCCTCTTTCTCTAATCTTTTTGCACGTACTACATTCTGATTATTTGATTTTGGCACCATAAACAAGGGAATTTGGTTGAAATGCACTTTACTCTAGTCGACAGTTTGTCGTATACATTCAAATATAATTTAAGTTATGACCTTGGCACAGTCATGGTGCGTGACATAACCGGCTGACTGGTGCCCCGAACCCTCTCCTAGGAGTCAGTAGTAATGATATGTTAGGAACATGGTTTTGTCAAGATTGAATAAACACAATAATTTTGTTTTAAATCAAATGTATTATATACAAATGTAAAAACTTCGTCTATTTCACTGCCACCAGAATGAATGAAACCAATTTAGGCGAATCTATTCATTGACATCTTTGAGTATAGTTATGCCGTACCATTTTCACCATGGTAAGTGAATTCTGATATGACAATAGTGCTACCCACGCTGTACAGAAATAAACCAACGTTCTGTAACATGAGGCTCACGGAGATGGTGATAAACCCGATACGAGGATTGATTATAAACTATAACAGATGCCAACATATGATCACAACCAACAATAACAATGGAACTATAACTATCGATGCTACTGACAAATACACATATAGTCTCTGTTTTGCTCGGTCCTGTTTTCTCTTTAAATGTCGTCCTTCCCACTCCTTAACCAATTCCTGACAATCTTCATACATGAACATAATCATTCGCCATCTTTCCTCTAACACCTCGAGGGCATTCCGAAAATGTTTTTCAGATGTCACTCTTTCATATATTTTATCATATTCATCTGGAAATCTTCCATATCTCACTTCCGTAATCGTTTCATCTCGAGAAATTTTACGCTGAAAGAATAAACGAGAATCACAAATAAGACGCGACATTTTGAAAAGCTCAGGATCAATGACGGTTCTAAACATTCAATAGGGACTAAGTGAACTTTAAAGTTTCGAAACTTCTGATACCGTACTTCTCATTCGAGGAGTATAAAGCTAACAGATTTCTGTTATACGTTGGCAGTTAACAATGTACTTGGTAGTGACTGCTGGTGGTCCCGAGGTTATTTTTTACATAGTTCCACCCATGCTTCTTAAATCCCGGAAATGAAAATGGGTTTAACGTCCTGCTGTTCTGTTCCTAAACTGGGCTAATGAAGACGGGCATACGCCATACAGTGTGCTATGAGGGAAATTTTTCCCGGGAAGCGGCGCTACGGCCTGCTCTTATATCGAATTCCAACTGCCAAGGGATCTTTTACGTGCACGCCAATATGAACACGGGACCTCGGTTTTTCGTCCCATCCGAACGACCAGACAGCTGTCCTTGCCAGGCCCTCCGTCCTGCATTACTGACAAGGGGAAACCACCTTAAATCCCGGTCCAAACCATTTATCCAGTAGGCTTTATGAGGGAATGGTGTCGTCCACAACGCAAGGTATCCTTTCTCTGATACCATGCGCTTGAGGAGTTCAGTCAGCAAATTTTGTTGTATTATTGCTTCGTAACAGTATTCGTCACTTTGCAATCTCTTTCTAGATTATCGCCCATTTTCTATATATAATCAGTAAAACCCTCTTCCTATTGGTATATTTTAAAAATCTTTTTCGGTTTTGTATACAGCGAAAAATAAATTAAGAGCACGATTTGATGATGTAGCATACTGCCAAACTGGGCTAAAAAAAAGAAAGCACACATGATTGATTCCCATTTAATACTCACTCGATTTACTTGAAAGATATCATAAATCATTGTCGTACAAATAGGTATACTGAATCATTTGACATGCTTCATCAAACTAATACATTTATATTCTATTTTAGTCACTTGACATATGCATTGATGACTTTACAAGGAAATTCTCAATATATGTATGTTAAATTGATTTATGTACGTGACAAAGATGTAAAATCTTAGATTAAATTTAAACTTAAAGTGATCTTTGGGTTTTAAATATGTACTTACTGTTAATTTTAACTAAACAAAATTTCCAAAAAGTGAAGACCCCACCGCGAGTCCAATAATCACATCATTTTTAATTGAAAAGATTTTTAGCATTTTTTCGTTCTTCGTTTTTAAGTGTCCCAATTTCCTGAATATGAAACACCAATCACCTCTCTTTATACAAACCAAAGTGAGTAATACTTCAATTAAGTGTTCTGCTCCGATTACAAAATTATACTTTATCAAAATATTTAAAACATCTAATTACTGTTAAACTGTATAGATGGTTTATGTTATATTGATACTAATTTTAATATTTCCTGTAATATCTATCGTTTTTGAAATAAATACTGTGGGCTACGTGGTTTACGAAACGTTCGTATGCGTTGTGAAGATTTCCGTTTAAATAAACATAGCCTATTCTGAAGTTTGTACTGGACTTTTCTTACAAACTTATGTTTATTAACATACCAATACTTAAGTTACATTATACAGCCCAAATGTTAATCCAAGACAAAAAGTTTACCAAATCAAAGTTAAAATTCAGAAAATAATATGTGGACTTCTTAAATGGGATATATCAAAATACACAATACCACAACTGTGACGAAACATATAGAGTATCAGGTCTTTTGGAAAGAGTAAGCATGCTCTAGCAAGCCTGATATCTGATCTGATATCCATAAGGCGAACCTGATATCTGATCTGATGCGTATTTTAGGCTTGGATGGCTATATCTGATCTCCACTGGGAAAGACAATAAGGGTAGGCTTAAATGATTCCCTATAACCCTTCAATATGTCTGTGGCCTGTGAACCAAACATCTGTGGTCAGTATCAGTGGCCTATAATGGAAGACTTGTACCTCCCAACATAAAAACAACAGTTCTAGATACTCACACGTATACTTCGTTTTCTTACAACACCGTGTTCTGGTACATTTCCTGAAAGTTGATTTGTAAACCTTTCTTCTTTTTCTGCCATTCGTCAGTGATTACTTTACAGCTTAGTGTTTTTCATAGGAAGTTTAATCAAGAACCTTCTTATCAGTTATGTATTAGCCAAGTCCAGTCTCTCCAGGTATATTATCATGCGTTTCATTCACATTCCATTAACTGTGGTAAACATTTAACCTAAACCCACCATGTGTTTATGTCTGAAAATCGTACACGCGTGCGAGATCAAAATTAGAAAGAGGATACGTGATACTTGTATATACACCTTAACTGGTTAATCCGCGCTCTACACCTCTCTCTCCCTTGTTTATGACGCCGTGTGTTATAAACCATATGTGAAGAAAATACGTCCAAGTCTTTATTTGATGTTTCCTTACTCTAGACTAAATACCATAAATTAAATTTCTAGCTATGAGTTTTAGTAAATATAAATCCGTCAATTCGCAGTGTTTAAAGAAGATAACTTTTTCGTGTATAATAAAATATTTTGTAGCTATAAATAGTTGTATAAAACAAAGACATATTGTATAAATTCTGCATTTATATTAAATCTAATATTCTAATTTCTGAAGTGACAAAATAAACTTGAAAAATCAATATAAGTGAGCAACCATTTCGCACATTAACTAAATTCTAATTCTTTACATTACAAGCTTTCCATTCTAGCTCTTCCCGGTGTAAAAAGACCGACGTTCTCGTATACTATCGTGTAATATTTGAACATTGGCGTCTCTTTGAAACTATATCTTTCACTCTCATTAAATGTGTTCCATTTTAAATCAAAAGCCATTCACAGATATTCTGCGCATATGAAACTAAAATTTGGATAGGGGGTGAGCTAGGTATAGCTTACGCGGGGCACACCCCGGATTCTGTCTTAATCATTAATTACCTAAGTATTACCTGTAGTTAATATAAGATACCAAAGACGAAACAGAACATCAATACAGTGATTTACAACGATGCGGTACGCAACTGAGACGATAAGCCGAACATCAATATCTTAAAATGGTGTGCAGCCGAACATCAATAACCTACAACGGTGCGCAACTGAGGAGAAACTGAACATCAATAACTTACAATGGTGCACAACTGAGGAGAAACTGAACATCAATAACTTACAATGGTGCGCAACTGAGGAGAAACTTAACATCAATAACTTACAATGGTGCACAACTGAGGAGAAACTGAACATCAATAACTTACAATGGTGCGCAACTGAGGAGAAACTGAACATCAATAACTTACAACGGTGCACAACTGAGAAGAAACTGAACATCAATAACTTACAACGGTGCACAACTGAGGATATATTATTTTTAAAAAATAATAAACCATACAGATTATTTTAACTTTTATTTATTTTCCCAACCTCTGTATTCTCTGTGTGAGAGACATCTATCATCTATAACTGACATTTTTTCTTGTACTGCGTTTACTCTGAAGATATAAAAATAAACAAGATAACAATTTGTCGATTTACCATATAAAATGAGGTCAATCTATTATTAACACCTATAATACCTCGCCCTATCTTACCTATTTTTAGCGGTAAATTAATTAATAAGTCAATCTGTAACGGCTGCACATAAGTCATTTTACACAGTTAAGAGATGACACCAGAAAGAATTTCTGACCCAAAACCTATTTTTATATTTCAGTTAAATATAACTATAGAATTCAGGACCCTAAAGTAATTTATGAAACGAAAGTTCATAAGATGCTGAATGTAGATAGGGTTTGTCCTCTCGTGGCCACAAGCACCAAAAACTGAAGCCTCTATCACGTTCACGGGGTTTCAAAAAAAAATGCAGAACCCGACAATACTTTCCACCAATTTGAACAAAAAATTTCCTTTAAAAACTATAGTTTCTACTGAATTAAGTATTTCGGAAAAGTGCAATAACCCTGGAGCGGAACTGATTCACATCAGAGGGCGAGTGTAGGGGTTAATCAACAGGGTTCGTCGTCATATGACCCCATTACTTATTTTCAAAAAAAACGGTAAAAACTATATAACCCCTATCACTTCACTTCACAAGCCAATTGTTAGTTAACGGACAGATAAATCGACGGAACGGGTGACTGCATAATACACCTAGGATATAATACGCCCACATCAAACAGGTAACCAAAGAGAAACGTAACTGAACCGGTTTTACAAGTGTCCCATGTAGTACGGAGCTAAACCGGGTACTAAGTCAGCTGTGACATTTGGTTTGAAAAATGACGAATGCTTAACTGCCGGATACGTAGTCCTGTTTATTGGTGGCCACTAGCGCGGTACAAAAACGACATCAACTGTGCATATAGCATATTACAGAACATTTACTATAGTATATTTAGGGGCATTTCTGTTACTAAATAAGCAGGTCGGCAAGATATTTATAGTGTTATAATCAAATTTATTAACACACACCATTCCCTTCGTTATAATGTGATTATTTACTAAGGCGCCATATCTATTAGATTATTGTTGCATAATGGGAAATACCTTTACGTCTAATAGATCTGTGATTCAGACGGGTTTACATGGTATGGTTCAATCTGTCGATTCCTCACTAATAATACTGGTAGAAAGTTTTTATTTTAATATCATACTAAATGGCATAGAATGAGGTAACCGTTACTAAAGAGCTTTATGTAATATCAGACCACAGAAGACCATGAAGTGCGTCTATTAAACGGCTGGAAACAAACACGTGTCCATGTCAGAATTACAATTTAACGACGCGAGAAATGACGTGGACGTGGTGCTTATACCTGGTCTCGTCGGGAATTCAATTTAGATGTTTCCTTGGCAAACACGAAACTAATTTATAGTGACACACAATGGCGGTGTAAAATAACGTACAGAGATGACACATAAGAATTAAGTATGTACCCTTCGTGATATCCCCTTTTCCTCCTTCAGAAAATTGCTTTTCCTTTCTTTTCGCCTCTCCTTTTCTTTCTGTTTTTGTATCTTGCGATAGCTTTCTGCTTCTTCCTCAGTCATTCTCTTAGCATGCCTGCCCTTTCTTCTTTTAACACGTCTCTCTACCCCTGTTTCTATCTTTAACAAGAAAAGAAGGAAGACGAAAAACTGAGGTCCCGTGTACACATTGGTGAGCACGTAAAAGATCCCTTGGAAGTTGGAATTCGATATAGTAGGCCATAGCGCCGCTGTTAGGGCAAAATTTCTCTCATAGCACACACTGTATGGCGTATGCCGGTCTTAATTACCCCAGTCGGGGCAGACCACCTCAGCCTTAGATTTTGATTGCAAACTAATCAGTTCTGTCAAATTACGGCAAATCGAAAATTACTTTTTAACGACGGCGGCGACCTCCAAAATTTGATATTTTGGAATATTTGTGCAATAAGTTTGTTATTATACATTTTTGTAACCATTCATTGATTGTACATGAAGATAACACGCGAATTAATACTGACCTCAAACAACACGATAACCAAGAACAACATCATGTTCGAGTTTAGGGTCCAAGCAGATTTAGTGACAGTATCATAAAACAGGTAACTTGGATTAAAGTGTAGTCCAGTATAAACCTATCATACCTTTGATTGAGTAGATTTTGTTTTTGTGTTTTCAGTAATAGTTAATACATAATCTATTACATTATTATCATCTAGGTCTATCTCATTACAACTCACTATCTGTCGGTTAATACAGCTTATATCTTTACTTTCATCATCTGAAAAACATCCATAGTGATTATATCATTGTACCCGAAACATACATTTCCCTTGTCTGATTCATGGCTTTAGGGATAGTTATCTCTTTTCGCTCTAAACTACAGGTTTTAAGGCAGCCATCATTATGTGGTACACTTACAAGACGATGAGTGGACGTGAGCTGACGTTACCGGGCAACCAGGTGTGAGCGTATGTGGCTTGGAGATAGGGGCGCCTTCTCAACCTCGCGGATTTACTCCGGGTACTCCGCCCCCCCACAGGGAAGACCCCTGCGCGTGCGCTACTAAGATAATAAAAAAAAAATAAGACCTGTCTGCGATATCACCTTCGGTGGAAGAGGACGTTAAACACTAAGGACAACAACTAAATATTTTGTAGTAAGTACCCGGTTAGTAGCTCGTGTTTCAACGTCTGCTTCCACAATAGTACTATCCCAGAGAAGTAAATATATATTACCAAATCACACTTTCATAATGGGGAGTGTATGCTTAAAGACTTTGACAGGGGCCACTATGTTTAGCTTTTTATAAACATACTGTATGCGTGGAAACAAATGTAGGAAATATAATCTATCAGAAACGCACCAAATCAGTAATTATGATTATAAAGATGAACAGTCATTATTCACACTTGTCAGTGGTGGAGTATGGGGGGCCTGACAAGACACGCAGCGTCTAGCCGTTCGGATGGTATAAAAACAAGCGGTTGTCATGCAAGATATGCCCATGCATGAAGTTACGGTCCCATAAACCTATACTTTTCAAGTTTTGTAAAATCGGATAAACATTGTGACCTCACCTGTAGAGTATTCACAAACAAAATGGGGTCGGACAGGGGCGACGACGTATACGTCCACATGAAAATGTGGGCCTATAAAAACGAAGTCCCGTAAACGTTGGCGTGTACCCAAACAAAAACCATGACAATTGGAAATATGATAATTTTGCGTGAGTCATGCCATACTTTCACATCCTCAAATGTTTGGTTGTCGATTGTGAGTCGATAATCATCAGATCATTTATATCCCTTTCCGTCAAATTGAAATCCGCCCATTTTCGATAACAATGTTTTTCGATTTTGTTGACGTGGGCAAAGTTGAGACGGGGATTTCTGGTGCACGGACGCAAATAAAAACCCACATTTAAAAACGAGATTAATTCCCATTCCACCCACATGGGGATAAATATTCCACTAGATTTGACATGTTGCAGTTATTTATATATTACTTACCAATCAATTCTAAAATATCTAGACCAAAACTGTTTAATTTATTATTAGGTTTAAAAGATGCTAGTGAATTATATATCAGGGGTGTTGGTATCACAAAGTTGTCATTTGGAAACCTGGAAGAGAAAAAGAAGAGTAAGCGTCTGAATATATTAAAATTTGTTTCAAATATACTTCAATAATTTGGCTTGCATGTGTTCTAATTCTAAGACGTATATTTTAAAATGAACGGAGCTCTTTGATTTTGATTAAAGCAATAATAATTTTGATTTTAATTAAATCTGATAAGTTGATTTGTTTTGCGAAGTAGGCATCTGTCTACATTTGGCTCTATAGATATAGCCAATGTTAATATAATTAATTTTGCGATCAGCAGTGGACAGTATTAACCATAAACAAAACTAAAATTATTAAAAATTGCACTAACTTGTTAATATTTCAAAAAGAAAATTAAATCGTATAGAACTGCCTAGTTACTAATCGGAAAAAAAACCACACCAGATCAACCCAATTAAACATTTTATTTTGACCTAAATCAAAATAGTTTAGCACCAATAATAATATAAAAAGGTTTTAAAAAAATTGAATATTTCTGGTTCCATTACAGGTGATAATTCCAAACGAAAAGTAACTTAAAAAAAGATAAAATCCATGAATTACATCGTATTTTGCGAAAGACGCGGGTTTATTGCGGTTATATCTAAGCCTCTCCATGACATCGGTGTTCTTGGAGTTACTGGCTGACTAAGACTTAAATTAAAAAACGCAGGAAGATTTGGGGTTCTAAATGTTTTGAAGGGATAAAGATGGTCTAATTGTGGTGTTTTGAATCCATAATGTCTAGAACACGTTGGTGGTGTGTTGATCTTTGTCCAGTTGACAGGATCTTGGTAGTTATATCTGTCGTATGTTTCTCCATTTGTTTCGTTGTTCTGAAATTAATAATTTTAAAGCGATAATTTCATATTTTTAAGTTATATTTTTAAAATGTATTAAAATAAATAGATGGTATCTATAAACAGACATACCTTAATAAAGAATAATCCTATTATTATTAATCCTATAATTCACTATTGCCAGTTGAGAAATTGGCAAATATATCATTTTCAACTTCAAATTCAACGTTTGAAGATAGATTTTCCTTGGGGGGGGGGGGGGTAGAAAAACAAGGGAGGTAATTGTGTTATTATTTCCTGTGTGAATGATTTTTAAGTGTGAGAATGATATCTATGATCGTCTAACAGTGAGCTGACAAACTATTGAGCAAAATACATAGCAATAATTATGTTTTGACTTTCTTAGAAAATATGAAATTCTCGCTTTAAAATTAAATTCCCCTGAGGCTGAACCGTGAACGTCATTTGGGGGATTTTTATCCATAGACATGATAGAGTAGTACAATATATTGTGAAAGTTGGATCTCTAAATTTAAAAGGAATATCAGTCCCAAAATGGTTCAATTCCGTTCAGTATTTAAAGTCAAAGACATGATGAATTGATGATTTCCCGCATGCTCGGCTGGACAGGTGATAAACTTAACAATTTACTGAACGGCCAAAATCTTACCACCTGCCTACAAGACAAGGTAAAGGTTTACAAACCAAAAAACGGACAATTATCTACTCCTGTGATTGTGGCAAGACGACCATGAAAGGTGCAATCCACATACGAGACCAAAACTGACCAGAGTGTCAACAAGGCCGAGAGTTTATGTGGGCAATCCTATCCCAGCCAAAGTTACTGATGGAGCGATAGGCTAGAACTTAGAAGAAAAGATTAATCCCCGAAGGCCCCACCCCCACCCTTTTTAACCTCCACCCTTTTCAACTTTAGCCCTTTCGCAAACACGGTGCTAAAAACTTATGAATACCTGGAATATTATTTCTATATCACCGGTAGATAGGACAGGCAAGGGTGAATTTGTTATGTTTTGTAGACAGTGTAACGCCGTCGGTATTTTCATTTTTTTTTTGCAAAAAGTCGTAGAACGCTGTCATGCAGTTCATCGTCGTCTGCTAGCCATCGAGAAAGTAAACATCCGCTTTTTGTGAGTTAAGCTGTGATTGGTTAATTATAACCAATCAGAACCTGTAGTACAAAGGCATATTAATATGGCCGACTACTTTTGATCTAACTTCCGCAATCAGAAAAAGAAATCGATAGTTAGAACATTTACATTAAAGAAGAGAATTTATATTTTATAAACTTAGAAAATGTGCGAAGGGTGTGTTAGAGAAGAATATCCGGACAGGGTAACATCGACTTATCTTTATTTTCTATGCAAACCAAGACTACATACGACAAGAGTCTCTGCAGTACGACTAGTCTACTTTCGTTTTGTTGACAATATGCATGCTAAATTTTTTGTTTACTATTATTAGGGAACGCTATGTTTAGAAAGTGGATGCTACATGATGAATTATGCTGGTTGCCATGAATGTCAGGACAGAAGCACACCCAAAATTGTAAATAAAAAATCAGATGAAATCAATGATGAAGAAATGATAACATTTCAACGTGAGTAGCCTAGATTCCTCATCTAGTTTGAGTTTTATTTTTAATTTCCTTCCTCTAGTTATACAGTTGTAGTGCTAACAACCATGTCATTGTTTCAGAAATATAGTACGCAATCACAGGTGCTATTGGACATTCGCACGAATGACACTGCTAAAAGACCTAGAAATGGTTCCACTACTGATGTCTTCCGCCTTAGGCCTACACCAGCCACAGTAGTGGCTCGTCCTATAGAGTTCCTTGCGCAAGTTTTTTACTCAAATGACTACAAAACTGTTACTGGCCAATAGCTCCCTTAATTTACATATACACTGACCCAAAACTGTACTGCACATAGCTTAACATATAATAAACCAATTCCCATTGAAATAAAGGTGAAGCCTTACTTACCGCATAATTATATGATTTGATGAAACCCAACTGCTACGCGAAATTTCTAGCCTACTGAACTTAAAATGTCCGCCCAGTAAGAAACAGCATGCACACTTCATCTCACGTCAAACATCTCTTTGAAAACGCATTACCACAAAGAAAAACTGTTCAGTAACTATTTTAGTGGTCCAGTCTTCACTATTTGTGATAGAATTACTTATTTCAATACAAACTGTAATGATATGTGTTGACAATTGTGTGTTTAAACACAGTTTAACGATACATTTAATTGTTGCTACTAAAAGACTCTGCAATAATGGAATAATGATCTACAGTTTCACAATGATCCCCATAAGGTTTACGAAGTTGGGTGGCCATTAATTCCCATTTGTCCCTGTTTTTTGATAGGAACAACCCTTTCATTCTTCTCCACTTTGTAATAGCTATGAATAAGTATGGGGAGTAGCAAATATCCTAGAATAATGCAAAAAAGTTAGCCTATTTACCACCAGTACCTTATTTAAACAATAAGGCTATTGTTCTATATGATATTTACTGGGATATAAAAATGCTGTGATCAAAAGATACATAAACCACTATTATATGTAGGCCTATATGGAAGTACATAGTATGAATACAAGTAAAAATTTCTTTATTCTAGGATTAGACTAAAGCAAAGATTGATTACCATGGGTAGAGAATTACTCCTTGCCACCTACATATAGATTGTGACTATCCTTGGCATAATATATATGGAAGCCATCCATCTTTATTATTTAAAAGCATGAAAGATTTATAAAGTTATATTATCTGTTAACTGTTTACCATTTGATCTATATTAATTTTAGATGTCTGTTCAAAATGTAATCACCTAATTGGAGAACATGAACACATATTTAAAGTCTCTGGGGAATACCAGGTAAATAGATTGTTAAAACTATCATTAAAATCTAAGCAAGTAATGTGATAACTAAAGATGCATTATGTAAGAGCTAAATCTGCCTATTGCAGATCTTTCTTTAGGCCTGAAATATTATATAGACTATTAGACACTTATTAACAGAAAAGACCTTAATCAACTCTCTAGACCATCAGATAATTGCGATATTTAATGGTTTGAAACACGGTCGCCATTTAAACATACATTATGCAAGAGATAAATCTGCCTATTGCAGGTCTTTCTTTAGGCCTAAAAAATTATATAAACTATTAATTAGACATTTATTAACATGAAAAGACCTTAATCAACACTCGATGGCATTTTATGTGTCAGATTTTCAATGGATTTGAATACGAATTGCTGCTCAACGCTCACCGATGATTTTAATCAAAAAATGGATAATCGAACCATCTTTAGAAATGATGATCGAGGCTAGGCCTAAAATTCAAACGCTAATATCTCGGTTCAGAGAGTAGTCATTTTCAGCATATTTCCTTTACTTTATCTAGTTTTTAACTATTATAGTGAGAACTGACGGCTCTTTATCTAACCTTTCATAATGCCCCTTTAATAATTTGATTTATAAATGGATTATTGAGACTTTGTTTATTATCGTAACAATGGTACTTTCCAATCAAGACTATATTGTGAACACTTCAAAGCCTAATAAATTCATGCAGAAACAAGTAATTTGAATGAAATTTTCAATATATTCTTTTTTCAATATCTATTTTTGAACAATTATATCAAGAACGGTCAGCTCTTTATTTAAATCTTACATAATGCTTCTTTAAGTGATGAATAGATGTGCACTGTCATATTAATTGTTTAATATATTGCAATTTATTAATCAATTGGTGAACAGATGACCTTATATATGTATACTTGAAGAATTTTTAGAAACATATTAATTCGCTAACCTCTGATCTATAGTTTGGAAAATCGTTTTGGTGGAAATTTTCATTAGTGAATTTTAGACTGCCAATGAACATGTATGTCAGAAATAAGTACTCAGCAAAAGATTTACATTCAAGGAATTTCTAATATTTCACAATACAATCAATTCAAATTTGTAGTCTTTTTCTGTCAACTATAATCAGGGCCAGATTAAGGCATGAGTGAAATGAGCTGCAGCATAGGGTCCTGCACTAACAATCATGTAAATCCTCAAAAGTTTTGCAGATAGCTTTGCTTGAATGGATATTCCTATTTCCAGTGCAAGTAAAAACTTTAATATGATTGCTTTTCATTTCTTTTTTTCCAGTTGTATGAAATGTCTTGTATATTGTGTGGGACAGGTGAAGATCAAAGAAGTATAATGCCCTGTGATCCTAGAGGACCTCAAATGAACAATGACTTCATAGACTGACTTTATGCTATGATACTTTAATTGAAGCTACAATTATGAAAAGACATTGAAATACTCCCAGTATTGACCTTATAATACATAAGGACCATGCTTCCAGGAACAATTCATTGAAATAATTGAATTAAACAAGAGCTAATTCTGCCTATTGCAGGTCTTTCTTTAGGCCTTGAATGTTATATGTATTGTTTAATGGTCGAGAGCGAGACATTAAGTAATATATTGTAACAACAAGAGGGCCATAGGCCCGAGTGTTTTTACAATATATTATGCAATGTCTTAAGCTCCAGACCATTAAACGACTTAAAATACAGACACATGCTTTTACAGTGAAATATGTCACGCGAGTCCATTATTTCACTAGTATATATAATGTACGATTGTCAAGTTGCCCCTACGATTATTTGAGATAATGGTACGCCAACATCAAAGGGTGAGGTCACATCTGTATTTAATAAACTATTAATTAGACATTTATTAACATGACAAGACCATAATGAACTCTCGATGCGGAGGAAGAAGGGCCAGCTCTTTATCTAAATCTAATTCTTACATAATGTGTCTTTAAATATATGGTAAATGTGTACTTATATGAAACTATAAGTTGAACTATGCATGTAGACAGAAAATCAAATAAATCATATCTTCAGTAATCAGCATGGCATTCTTTAAAAGATCGGGATACAAGTTTAGAACAACAAATGTCAATGGGAAATACTCTAGGATTATATATATTGTATCAAATTGAATTTTATGTTGGCCTTCATTTTTATTTTCAAAACATCACAATGCACAAAACAATTTCTATAATGTTGATAAGTAATGTAATTTGTCATTTGGAAAATCTAATAAATTATGCTTTATTATTAAATTAAATTGGTATATCAAAAAAATTATTCTTTAAATAAATTGAAAATATAAGGTTGGAATTGTACATTATTCTTTTTAATATATATGACTTTATAGAAATAGTATTATTTGATATTCCTTGTATTTAGCTGACTGGTTGTACATTTTCTGTTGTTCAAATTACAAAATATAAATTTGTTTATAAACGCAAGCATTTTTTAAGCCAGAGGAGTAGCTTATGCAAGGATCATACCTCAAAATCCTTGTGAACCAGCTTAACCATCTGACACTCAGATGGTTAACAAAGCAAATTTCCACAAAACTTAATGAGCTCGCTAAAGCCAAACATTTTAAGCCGACACATGTAGACCTCTCATATAAGCCAGCTTTCGAACAAAATAATTCTTAAGGAAAGATAGCGAGCCAGGTTTTTATACGCTGCTGTGGACGTATATTATTATTGTGGCCCCTGTCTGTCTGGAATTTGTGGTCATTATACAGGTCACATTTTTTTTATCCGATTTTGAAGAAACTTGAAATATGGGTTTATTTCCCAAAGATCTCGGTTCATTTCGATATTGGCATGTATCTGATCGTAACTTCATGCATTATGGCCCCTGATTGTAAGAAATATCGCGGTTTTAGCCTGTGGTCTCTTTGGAGATCACAATTTTTATTTGATTATGGACACTCCAGATGTCACAATTTTTATCGATTTTAATGAAACTTGAAATAAATGTTTATAACCAAACGATCTCGGGTCCTTTCGATATTCGCATATAACAGATCGTAACTTCCTCGATTATGGCCCTTGATTGTACGAAAAAATCACAACTTTAACTTGTGGACTCCCTAGAGGTCACAATTTTTACCCAATTTTAAATATCGTTCAAATATATCATCCTTACATCCTGATGATGATTGAGTTTAAATTTCAGTTCCTTTGGATATTTGCACATAATATATCAGACCATAACTTCCTGGATTAGGTCGTGGGTCCTCTAAAGGTCATAATTTTTATTCGATTTTAAAAACTGTTTAAATATATTACCGTTCCACCATAATGAAGGTTTAGTTCTAATTTCGTGAAAATCGAAACGAAACTGCCAGACGAAATAGACGCTCCTTGCCATGTACGCATATTGTGTACAGGTATGTAATACCAAGGTTGTTTACCCTCTAGAGGTCACAATTTTAGTCTGATTTTGATGAAACTTAAAATATATCTTTATATCCAAAAGATCTCAGCCCCTTTCGATATTTGTGCATTTCAGATCATAACTTCTTGGATTAAGGCCCCCGATTGTACGAAAAATCGCTTTTTAACATAGATAATCAGGCTTAAAATTTTTGCGATTTGATTAAATGTATGGCACATCAGATTTAATTTTTATTTGTTATTAAATGTTTTTATAAGATGTGTATGGGAATGCATGTGTGCTGGACATAATAAAACATTTTTCTTAATTTTACTGACTTTTCTTTAAAACTATCCATGCGTTGTTTATATCATCACCTTCACTTTTTCTTCTTTATAATGTGGAATTGAATAGTGATCGAACTATGGGAAACAACTCTTGAATTACAGCAGTGTACAGACAGCTAAATCTGTCTACATTAATTTCAACATGAAATTCTGAGCTATTGAACATTCCGACGATCATAATCTTGAAAACTACACTTGTGCACATATAGTCGTCACCCCGTTTGTCCGTCCGTCAACAATTGGCTTGTGAATGGGTTTTTGTTTTAGTTTTAGTCTTGTGAAGCATTGTGTTTATGAGAGGACGACCGTTCTGTTCCGTGGTCTTTCGTGCCAGATTTATGCCCCCTTTTCCGAAACCGTGTGAACGCGATAGAGGCTACTGTTTTAAACGAAATTTAGAAAGGAAGAACTCAGCTTCCCACGATTCTCTGTGACTTTCCGTTCCGGATTTATCCATCCCTTTTTGAACCGATAGCGGCTGTAGTTTTTAAGCAATTGGTTTTTTTTTTTAAAATTGGTGTGAAGCATTGCAGTCATGACTCATGAAAGCCGACTTGTGAAGACGCGTTACCTATCGCATTAATCCCAAATTCCATATTTGCGTATTTTAGCGTGTATTAAAGGAGCTAAATCGCTAACATTTGGGACCTAGAAATTGACAAAAGTGGGTCGCAACGCATATAATACTGTAATATGAATGTATATAAACTGATTTACATTCAATGGTTTCCGTTTTTACTCCAATTTCAAATCAGTTATGTTCGGCGAAATAAGCCAGCAGTCTCAAGCGAGCGCAAATTTCTAGTGTCTGGTTATTCCAGTCTACATACGCAGTTTGATTTGGTGCAATGTGTCTAGACTCGTCCCTCGAGTCTCTTGATGCAACTGGGGCTGAAGCGCATTATGGTACACGATTCGTGTACCAATGGTAAAATGTTTATTTTGTCTTAAATATTGGATATCAAAAGCCCATATTTTCCCGCTAAGATCACAACATGAATGTTGATTTAATTTGACAAATAAATCGTGTTTTCAATGTTGAAGATTTTGGATGATATTGAGTTAGAGACTTGGCTACTTTAAGCTGTGAGAAATTTGATGATGGGAAAATGCAAATGGCCCATCTGGAATCATATGCGACAATACAAAATACAATAAGGTACAATACAAGGGGGTAGTTAAGGCGGATTAAGATCCATAAAAATATTGCTCATATAAATCAGTAACACTGTGAGGATCAGCACGGCGTATTAAACATTTACTAATAGACTAAATTAATTAATTGTGGGAATATTAATTATTTGGATTTAACTGAAATTCGTCCTACTACAATGTTATTATTGTTTAGTTTAACTGAAATTACTGGACTGGATAGAACTTAATAGAACTTAGAAGAGCTCTGTTGTTGTGATATTGCAGACAAGTTGTCTTATTTTCATTGTTTTATTAACTTAGCACACGCGCAGGGGTCTTTGCTGTGGGAGGAAACCGGGGTACCCGGCGTAAACCCGGAGTAAACCAACGGGGTTGAGAAGGCGCCCCTGTCTCTAAGTCTAAGCCACATACCCTCACACCAGGGATCGAAACAATGACTGCAAGCCAGAGGCGACCAGCCAGTGGGAGCACGAAGCGTGACACTCTAGACTACTAGGCCACCCAACCCCTCAGAAAAGCTCTGAATACATAAGTCGCTTCATATTCCCAAAGCAATGAGCAGATAATGCCCTTATCTTAGGTCTAATCAGACGAAACACTGCGAGGAGTATGGAGTCACTGGTGCTCACCCACTATATTGCCCACACACCGACACCAAATGACGTCATAACGATGATTGCATGTAGAAGTTTCGTAGTTCTAAATTTGTTTCATCGTGGACTGTATATTATAAAAAATTCGACTGAACCTAGAACCATGTACCGTATATACAGTCTGTATATACGGTACATGGTTCTAGGTTCAGTCGAATTATTATAAAAAATTCGACTGAACCTAGAACCATGTACCGTATATACAGTCTGTATATACATACCAATACCAATTATTATAAAAAATTCGACTGAACCTAGAACCATGTACCGTATATACAGTCTGTATATACATACCAATACCAATTATTATAAAAAATTCGACTGAACCTAGAACCATGTACCGTATATACAGTCTGTATATACGGTACATGGTTCTAGGTTCAGTCGAATTTTTTATAATAGACATGACATGAAATGCAATTAGACATTACAGAACTAGAAGCTCTGTTTACGCAAAAAACAAAGAAAATTTAACTATAGAATGTTCACAATGTTTCCATAAACTGTGTAATATGGACACTTGATTAGGAATCTTAGATCTATCTCCTTTTAGCGTGAAGCATATATGGCGGAGTTTCCTTATTAATGGCACAGGTGCCCTCAGTGGTCAACTTAGCACCTACTTCCTTAGAAAGAACAAATATTTGGAGAATATTGCTAAACATCAAAAAGATCTGCATCTGACCCAAAGTTTCACCAACACAATACCTTGGTCCAATCATATGCAGGATGTGGCTTAATTTTACCATATTCATCCAAGAATCTTTCTGGTCTGAAGGTCAATGGGTCATTCCAGGTCTTTTGGTCTAAATGACAGGAGAGGACATTGGGAATTACAATAGACTCTTTGGGAATCAAGTAACCTTTGACATAAGCATCTTTGATATTCATATGGGGCACGGAAAGTGGAGCGTTATTTCCTAATCGATATGCTTCCATCAATGTTGCTTCTAAGTATGGAAGATTTGGTTTATCCGACCATCTTACCATTCTCTTTGATCCGACCACTCTATCGATTTCATCTTGGCATTTCTTTTGTATGTTTGGTTGTAGTATCATGTAAAGAAATGCCCAATCTACAACATTTCCATTAGCAATGGAACCAGCGGCAAATAGATCGAGAATGATTCGGGTTAAATTCTGTTCATCAATGAGGTAATTTTTGGTAGTTTTAGTTTTTTTCAAGAACACGTCAATCAAATCTCTGCTTGCGTGTTCAGTGAGTTTCTTTTTGTGTTCATCAATATATCGACTGAATTCCTGTCTTGTTTCAGCAACGTCCTCGTTTTGATCCTCCAGCTTTCCTTCAATACCGGGTAAAAATCTGAGAAACGGTAATGTATGTATAGGAGACATAGACCCCTCGCCTTTAAATAGAGCACGGACCGTGTTAAAAATGTGCATATCTATTTCCTTACTATAATCCAATCTAGATCCGAACGAAACACGACCAATAACACTTGTTGTGGCCTTGATCAAGGCGTTCCTAATCCTTATCGCATCTCCACCACTTGTCGAGAGTCCCTCTATAATATCCATTATTTCATCTTTTATTATTCCTTCAAACGATATTAAACCTATATCGTGAAAGGCCTGTACAACCAAACTCCTGGCGGCTTTCCAGTCTTCACCATTGGCAAATGCCAACCCTGGACCTTTTAAGCCAGCTATTTTGTAACCCCATAGTTTTTCGGTCGGTCTGGCTATAAATACATCGTTTTGATCAACAATTGCTTCTTTGATCGATGCTTGGTCGTTTAAAAATACGGTTAGTTGGTTTCCTAAGTAAATACGGAAAACGGGTCCATATTTGGCCTTCATTTCTTCTAAGTATACGTGTCTCCTTCTCGTATATTTACCTCGCATATTGAAGAGATTGCCAACAACGGGCCAAAATGGCGGCCCGGGTGGAATCCCGGATCTTTCCCAAAATAGTAACACATATCCAATCACTAGCACAATCGCAAGAGCAATCAAACCAGACGACAAACACGTACTCCAAAAATCCGGAATACCAACCATATTGACACTAATGTTGTCTTCTACGTGAATGTTTTTTATCGTTGGATGAACGCTTGGCCGAGTGTATTGACGAACTAATGTTTATAATTTACATCCCACTTCTACTCGTTGCCACTGGCAACCTTTGATAAAACTGTCCTGTTTAATTGCAGTACATGCTTAAAAGTATCCGTGTATCAGAAATGTACAGAAAGAGTACTGATCATTTCTGATATACGGATACTTTTTTTTTCCGTTTTAGATATCTATCAAGCAATAAGTAGCGGACGTTTAATCCGACCCAGATCGCAATTGATAACTAGGCTCTAACCAATGTACATGAAACAACTAGTCAAAATCATAGTAACAAAACAAAATGGGGGGAACTACATGGCAGTTCAAAAACATATACAATGACATTAAATTAACATAACAACATATTACAAAAATCAATTATTATACATACCAATTGGCATCTATTTCATAATTTGGTTTGATTTATATTAATATGCAAAATATATAAATAAGAATATTGAATAATTATTTTAATTAATTGTGATGATAGATGGCGCAGTTCTCTTGCTGGACACTTCACAGGCATTGAAAATAAGCAGGATGAAAAAAAAAACGCCTAGAAAGTCATAAACTTTATTACAAATAAATTTCAACGGAAGAACCATCCGCCGATGCATACTTTCACCAGGAATGACCCACGTTTCGCATTTCCTATACACTACATTTAATAATATCGCAGTCCTCTACGCCATAGACATTGTTTTGACGATGTGGTCTAAACAAACACGTGATTGTTTTACGCTCAGAGTATCATAGCAAGACGTACGTGTGAATACTACTCAGGTCGTCTCTCCACTGCGAAATCATTCTACCATGAAATGTAACGTGAGGCTCAGAAAGGGATAAATAATGAAAGAACTTTTCGGTTGAAACGACTCGATAATAAATACTATTTTTCACATTTGGCTTCACACAATACTCGATAGAAATGTGATGTAAGTAACTTATTAGCACCTTTTCTCGGTGTATCGGTGAATATCAGGACAGTTTTGGTCGGGAGCCGCCTCGGCTCCGCCTCGGCTGGGCCCCTCGACCAAAACTGTCCTGATATTCACCGATACACCTCGGAAAGTGTGCTAATAACTACTACATAAACC